GACAAAAAGCTAATGTCTGAAGCCATTTACTCCAAAGTCTGGTTCAGAAATTGCTTTTCTATGAATGCTGTTACTGTGAATGCCTTAACCTTAAATTCATTGAAATGTGATTGCTTTGTGCTGTGCTCACCTTGGACGACGTTAAATTCTATCTTATTACGCAGGAAGAATCAGGTAGAAGTCGGGGGGAGGGGGGACGGGGGAGGGAGAACACATCTCGCTTCTGTTCAGTTCACTTTCAAAATAAATTCGTTGTTGAAGCATTCATTAGTGAAGCACTTTAAATTAATGGGAAGTAATTGGAAATGTGATACAGAAATTGTAGTTGGATACTTGTAGTGGAGATGACTTTTTGTTAAACAAAATTGCCTCCGAGGCCCGAAGAATTAATTATTCATCAAGCTAAACCTGGAAGTCAGCTAATCCCGTTGTACTATTCGAAAAGAGAAGGGAGTTTCTCCCCAGTGTCCTGGTCAACCATTCCCCAGGGTTCGAAGATTCAGTCATTCGCTTCAGACTGGGCTGTGTGTGAGACATTACTGTGGGCAAATTTGCCACTGTACTCATCTACAGATGTACAGTCACCACATTTAACAGAAAACCTCTGTGACGTGCTTTGAGAAATGTCAACATGAGAAGGTACCATATTAAATACAACAACTAATATCATTCAATCTAGACTCAGATGAAACTTCTACCCCATAAATACCCAAGTAATGATTATATATATATATATATATTTAATGCTGTTTGTGGGACATCTGTGCGCAAACTGGCTTCAGAAAATGCACGTCTCAAGACATAATGCCAATTAATATGCAAAAAAAACTTCTTTCCTTCAAAGTCACATGATTAAAAGTTCTCATGGATGTGAATTGATTTGTACCTGACTTATTCTACTTGTAGCTGCACGAACATAATTGTTTCATAACTGTCTGGAAGGCAAGATTTGAACTGAAAGGCATTGTCCTGAACTGCAAGAGTGGGGAGAGCTAATGGAACACACCCACGAAAAGCGCACACAGATGCTTTTCTCTTTTAAATCAAATTGCCAACAAAATGCAGTTGTCTCTGGATATTGCTAACCTTTCCTTTTTGCAAAGCTCCATTTATGTTCATCGATCTTTAGTTCCCCAGAATACAGGATGCTCCTTGATTCATGACATTTCCCAACACAAAGTTTCAAACAGCCACAGTCACAATGGGACAAGTGATCTCACAGGGTAAGGGTGAATCCAGAACCAGTTTGCGGTTTGATACCTGACTCATCCACCACCCAGCTCTGCTGTCCTCACACGGTTGAACATGTGCCACAGTGCCTGCAACGGCCTCTGATAATTACGTGCTTGAAACCGGAAAGCGTACTGTGTTTGAGATTTCCAAGATCAATAAGCCTGGTTTGGAAATCAGACTACAGTACGTACCAGTGGCATTAACATCGTGCATAATTAAAAGTAAGTTGAATGCACAAGAAAAGGAATTCCACCTGGATCGAGAGGCCTCGGTGGACTGCACTGCAGCTGACTTTGAATGAGATACGTGACGGCAGAAGAACGCTCAAAATAATCCTTCTCCGTAGAAGCTCACCCCAGACAATTAGTCACAGAGAGAGAAAAGTGCTCAGCGCTGTCATTCGGCCTCTCCCAATCCTCCCAAAGCCATTAAGAAGAAATTAAGTCAAGCTTAAAGGTGGAGAGGATTTGTTTTCAAGCAGTTTGGAAATAAGAATGAACACTTGGATCGTTCAATCAAAAAAAGGTCATATTGCATATGAAAATAGGCACAACTCACTTCCCTTCTCTTTCCAGATCACCAGGAAAATGTACTGCTCTGCTCGGGAAGGCTAACACAGAACCTGTCTTATTTGGTTGAAGTACTTCTTTTGTGTAAGTTCTTCTTTTGCCTTTTTCACTCAGAAATAAATCAAACAAAACAACCACCAAATCCTCAGTTCCCTTCATTCTACTCGGGAACGTGATCAGACAGTCACTACACCTTACAGTGAATCCCGCAAAGGACTTTGAGATGTCCTTCCGACATGAAAGGCGCCATATATCAAATGCAAGAGTTCATTATTTAGTTCTGAAAGCGATTCTACAGAGAAGTCAATTATGGAGTCATTTACCCAGTAAATCTGAGACTAAATCCAAGCGGGAGAACTTCTGTTAAGCAACAGGGAATTCAAGTCTCACCACCTCAGATATGATGGACAGGCAGCATGCACTATTAATTCTGGGACTCATGCAGTGAGCATTTATGAATAATAAGGTGTGGACTGCTCTCTGCCAGAATGTGTTCTCTCAGAATATATAATGTACATGTATATGCAGCAAGGGCTGACTAGACCCTCCAGTAATTCATCTTGGAATATAAATGGCTCGTACAACATGTATTACAGTGTAATAAGGTCTAACTAGTGTATGCCACTGTTTGTAACCTCAGAATATGCTTCCAGTCATTGAGCTTTTACATGACATGCAGTATGTAGCGACTGCACTTGTATTCTTATACTTGTCTCTTTCTTTTTCTCTGTTTCTTAATAAGAAATGGATGAGTTGGAGGTTTAGATTCCTGGTCACACTCATGTTTATATACCTCGCACCAAATCAGATTGCTTTCACCATGTTTCCAGTGGCTCCGAGACACTAATCTCACACTTTAATAGTAAGAATCAGGACCGATTTATTTCACAAATGATTTTACAAGCTTTTAATCTATAAAGAGAGCTATTCTCAAGCGTTATTGACTAAGTACCTTGAAGTTGCAAAGTGCTTATTTAAATGTCTTTACCCAAACATTGCAGCCCCACACGAGTGAATAATCCAGATGCCACACATCAGCCACTGATTAAGAGTTTTTTTTCAACACCACATCATTCGTGAAATAAAAAGTGTTTTGCACGTACAAGCTCCAGTATTTCGCTGTGCGCAATTGGCTGCCGCGTTTCGCCCACAAAGTATACAGTCAATTCACTTTCCAGTATATTCTGCAAAGCTCTTTGAGACTTCTCGAAGACGTGATAAGGTGCAATAATCAAATGCAATGTTTATTATTATTATCATTATTATTATTATATATTCTAACCCACTGCAATCCTTACATTCTAAAGTCTTACTGTCTTTCCTTAAATTTTCATGTCTGGCCAACCCAATTTTCTTATCTTGTTACCAAGAAGAATTGCAAATACATCATCTTTGCTATTGTACTGGAACACTGCTCTTTTTTACAATACAGAGTATTTGTTCATTCATTTAACTATTCATTCTATTCTCTTGCCATTTGTAAAGCACAGATTTTTTTCCTTTTTTGTTCTACCTCACTCTAGAATTCGAAAATGCTAATTGATTTTGCTTTGGTTGTTTATTACTTTTGAACCTGAGGCGCTTATTTAATCCAGTTTGCATGGATAAGGTTCGTATTCAGTTCTTAAAATTGGAATAACAGTGTGGCAATGAATCAAGTATAAATGTATAAATGCATTTACTGATTTTCACTGCGTATCTGGGCTAAATTTTGTCTATTCGTAAATAGAGTTTAGACAATGCGTTCAATAAGAGAGTTGCTGCTTTTTTGAACCGCAGCCAACGCAGCAAAAACAGATGCATCGTGGCCATTCTGTACCTCAGTGCACATATAACAATGTAGTCACAGGAAACAGAACAGCAACATGCAGAGAAGATAATCAACTATAATTAGGGCCTCTTTGTCTTATGCAATAACAAAACGTAATAATAATCTTTGCATTTCATGTAGTGCCTTTCACGTCTGGAGGACATCTCAAAGCGCTTCACAAGGTTGGTTTACCAACGTTGTAGTGACTGTCGTTCTGTAGGTGAGTGAGTGCGGCAAACCATTTGTGCACAGCAATGTCCCACCAATGAAATGAGTGATTGATTTTATTTGGAGGGAATGTTGGCCAGAATACTGCGGGAAACTCCCTTCTCTTTTCAAATGGTGCCTTGGGATCTTTAGCGCCCACCCGAACAGGCAGACGGGTCCTTGTTTTATAGTCTCATCCGAAGGACGGCACCTCCGATATCACAACACAACACTGCATTGGAAAGTCTGCCTAGTGTATGCAAGTTCAAAGTCCCAGCATGGGGCTTGAACACAGCACCTTCTGACTTAGAGGCAGAGTGCTTACCAAGTGAATCAGGCTGACACGACCTGATGACATTGCAGTTTAAATTGCATAGTGCGATATGAGCTCATCTTAAAAGATGTGATTCGATCACTGGTGTTTGCCATAGCATAGTCATCTACTATCACTCAGCAGCAAAAAATATAAGGTTGAAAACTGAATCAAATCTCACCTTCCCTTCAAATGCCACTTAAGAGTGAGTTTCGAGGAGATAATCCACTTCAGGACTGGAACAGCATCAAGAAACTTTGAGAAAGAAGCTTTGAGTGGTATGGTGTGTAACATAATGTCAGCCCTTCAATGTGTTGTTGCTTTGTGACCCATTCTAGGGCATTTGTTGTCCATTGTATTTTGGACGGTCTTATACTGCATATAATATAAGGCTTGTTAACGTTGAAAAACAGTGCCCATCTAACATGAGTGTATTTCAGGTAAAGTTAGTACATTCAGCTCCCGAACTGTGTTGTAATGAACACAGTGTGAATTGTTTGTGATTAATCTTGTGTTTTCTTTTGCTGGAATGATTTTTTCATTATCAGCTCCTAAACTTTATTGCCTTCTGACCCCCGTCTCCCTTTCTCCCTCCCAATACTGAAATGAAAGAGGTTATTTACTCATTGAGCCTAAACTAGTACTGACTGCTCTACACTAATCTCAATATGAATTGGGCGCCATACAAATAAAGGTTAATCTTTCACCAATGTGTATGTTTTATCATTAGTGTGAGACTTGTCGAGGTAACCGGTTATCTGCTGATCAGCTTTTTCTGTCTTTATCAAACTCGCAGCAAAAAAAAAGAGAAAAAAAATGAGGGAAGGCTGCCAAGATAATAATTTTACGTTTTCATCTTAACTCTTACCTCCGAACAGAAAAAGAAGTCCCGTCAATAACAGTAACAGGTAAACTCGTGCTAAGATGCTTATAAATCCGGTTATTCCTCCAAAAATCATCAGGATAAGGCTAAGTGGAAGCAGGATTACAAATGTTCCGTGCATGTCTGTAACCAAATAAAACAAGAACATAGACGTCAATCACCTGAATCAGTAGGTTTTTTTCCTACTGCAATAACAGATTGAAAAAAAATCTCTTGTACCAAGCCCACCTCCCTGATAAGTCTCCATTGCGCTGTGAAACTTCATTGATAAAAACGTCCATTGATAATTCATTAATAAAACTGACAACCCATTGTGTTTTATCATATGGGATTGCGAGACAAACTGTATTGACTGGAATCATTCTTCCATTCAGATGATTGAATATCCTTGATCACAAATAGATTGTTTGGATATACAACGTTTCGTCCACAAATATACAGTCAATTTACTTTACAGCATAATTCTGTAAAGTGCTTTGAGAGGGCTCGAAGATGTGTAAAGATGCTATATCAAATGCAAGGATTATAATCTCAGGTAATTCAGGAGTATCTTCAGCTATAACCTTCTGCTTAATGAATAGTTTTCAGACCATTGATTGTATTTGAAACAATGGTAGATTGATGGGTTGAATAATACATTGAGTCACTGCAGTTTGCACCCTATAATCTTTTATTCTTACTTCCCGATGAAATCAGAAACTAAAACACAGAGAGAGACTTTACTTACTTAAGAGTTGTCTTTGCGTATCTGTAAAATTCCTGCTTCCTTGCCAGAATGGATTCATTAACGGAAAACATTTACTTTTAACTGGAATAAAAAGGGCACAAAACATTTGGTCAGCCCGAAGGAACATTCTTTGCTCATTCATAAACGTTGTCAAATAGTGCATTAAAACACACCGAGGATAGAAAATTTACAAATCAGCAAACTAGCTTTAAAATAACAGGTGTATGAAAATATCATGTTCATTACCTTAACGAAGATATGAACTAGAGGTGAACGAATGGGTTACTGTACACAGAGCAGAGAAAAGGTGTTTCACATGAATTCCACGATTGCAACAATCTGATTAAATAGCCCTTACGTTTACAAGTTATCCAAAGCCCAGAGTGAGATCCCAGCTGTTCGGAAGAATTGAAGAACGTTTCCAGTTTGGAGGCATCGATGATGTACCAGAAATCTGTGCCTATTGCCACCACCAACAGTACAAAACTCATCACCCACAGCACAACCACACACACCGACAGGACACTGAAGGTCAGCTTCATCCTGGAAAGAGAGAGATATAGAGAGAGAGAGAGAGCAGCTGCGATGGTTAGATCTGCAGTCCCTACCTAAGAATCGTGAAAAAAAATGCTTCCCAATATTTATACTCGTTTCGATGGGGTTTACAGCAAACCTGACAAGGCAGCACTGACTCGATGTCTCGTCTGGCGTTGCTTCTGCCTCTTCATCCCATGCGGTGGTGTGGAGCTGATGCAGGAGTGATACAGTCAGTGGGAGTCTGTCTATCAGATGCGTCTCACTCATCAGCAGGGCTGTGTGAAATGTGCTTTAATATCTTAGCTGGCATTTTAAAAAAATACATCGCATCCACCTCCATCCACGTCAGCCACCATCCCCTCCCACACACATCCCCCCACCCACACAAAGTCCTCAAGTCTCCCCCCACCCAAAAAAAAAGTTTTTTTTCTCTGTTTGCATTTTAAAAACCCACCCAAGCCCTTGAGTTCAAGCCCTCCAGACTTGCAGATCCCAGGTTATCTCCATTTAAGTGGAGTCCTGTAGCTCAGTGGTTAGAGCGCTCGCTTTGCAAGTGAGAGACCTGAGTTCAATTCCAGGCGGAGGGCGAAACCTTGGGCAAGTTTCCTTACTCCACACAGAGCCTAATAATAATCCCTCAAAACCCAAAACAATAATAAATTGGTCATTTTCAATCTACAACTGTTTGTGGGACATTGCTGTGTGCAATTGGCTGCCGCGTTCGCCCACAAATATACAGTCAATTCACTTTACAGTGTGTTCTGTGAAGCGCTTTGGGACGTCCTCCCGACGTGAAAAGCGCTATATCAAATACAAGGATTATTATTATTATGATTATTTGCGAATGTTGGCTAAATAATCAGGAAGCTTGCATTCTCTCTCTCTCATAGCATCTTTCATGTGGAATGCAAATCTCACAGGGCTACAAAAAAAATGACAACAACAACAACAACAAAAGAAAAAGAACCCAACTGACACGGTGGAAATATAGCTGGATTCATCTAGAATTGTGTTTTATTTTTGTTTAAAAACAGAAGGTGGGTAGAGAGATATTTGGATAATAAGGGCTTTGAGAAACACAGAGAAAAGGCACCAAAATGGGTTGGGAATGAAAAAGAACTGCCCTGAATTAATCAAATGGTCTGTCAACCTGGATAGCCAAATGGTTTATTCCTCTTCCTAATAGGGCACAGTACTTATCCCGAGACCTTACTTAGCCTCTCACTGAGCAGTAATAAAGAGGCTGTGATATGCTGCAGGAGGAAAGCAAAATTCAAGCTCACTCTTCCTGCAGATCTAAGAGGCAGAACACATATTCGTTTCCAAGTTGGTAGTCCTCAAGGACAGTGTTTTTAAAATATATATATTAAAAAGAACAAAGCAATTTGAATGCTTTATGATTCATACTTTACCTGGATCCAAGGGATCGCAATCTATCAATCGCATTTCACAGCACCAGTGTCTGATGCTTAATGAGGAGGGAAACGATTTGATATAGCGCCTTATCACGTCTTCTAAGTCTCAAAGCGCTTCACACAATGTATTGTAAAACAAGTTGATTGTATATTTTGTGGGCAAAATGCAGCAGTCAATTGCACACAGCAGTGTCCCACAAACAGTCGTGGATTGAGTGACCAAATTATTGTTGTTTTTATTCTTGAGGGATTATTATCAGGTGTGTGGAGTAAGGAAAGTTGCCCAAGGTTTCGCCCCCCGCCGGGAATCGAACCCAGGTCTCTCACTTGCGAGGTGAGTGCTCTAACTGCTGAGCCCTAAACTTTAACGTATTATCCATTTATAAAAATAATCGTTGTATTTGATATAGCGCCTTATCATGTTGTTGAGACGTCTCAAAGAGCTTCAAACATTTATTGTAAAGCGTACTACGAATTTGTACGCAAACGCGGCAGCCAATTTGCGCGCAATAATGTATCATAAACAGCCAAGAAGTAAATGACCAATGTCAGGAAATTCCCTTTTCTTTGTGAAATAGCAAAAAGATTCTTGGTTTAACATCACATCCAAAAAATGGCACCTCCAAAAATGCCTCTGCCTACAATTTGCACCATCACTGCACTTTACAGTATAGTCTGTGAACTCCTTTGAGACACCCTGCTGATGTAAAATGCATTATATCAAATATAATGAATATTCCTATTATTATGCTGCATCGTTCGCTTTCTGATGCCGATTGACCTCTAGTGATTTTTGTCCAAGATTTTCAGTGCCTGCAATTTTTTATCCCTTTTTATTATGACTTTGTGAACCCTCATTTTAACACATATAGCACAACAAAACATTAGCATTTGTAAAGGAAATAATGTGGGATGCTCTATGCCTACTGAGAAATAAGATATTCAAGTAATAATGCTCACAATTGTCCCTTACAATTATGGAAGAGTGAGTACAATTTATTTGCATGCAATTTGGATTTGCATATAAGTGTTTGTACTATTATTGCTGCAAAATGTGGCTACAAAACTTATAAAAACTCAAGACAGGTATCATTCTTCCATTGGATGATTGAGTATCCTTGATCATAGATTATTTGGGTATAAGGAATTTCGTCCATAAATATACAGTCAACTTACTTCACAGCATATTCTGTAAAGCGCTTTGAGACGTCTCAAAGACGTGTAAAGATGTTGTATCAAACACAGTTTGAAGGGAATAATTATGAAATATTGTGTTTATAAAATGATCATTTTGAAACCACACGAAACACCTCCCTTGCTATTTCTGTTTGTTTTTTTTTAAAAATTGCTTTCTAAATCCTTCTGGTGTTTATATTAGTTTCATAAATGTGATTGAATTTATTTTTATAATGGTTAATTGTGCTTAATTACATGAATAACAGTTGTATCAGATGTTAGTTTTCTGTGCACAGTTATAAAAGAACAACGCAACCTGGTGAGATCAAGTCTTAGGTGTTTTAAACTTAACCAAAGACACTGCAACATGAAACACAGATATCAGTCTTGGAGGTATGATAACAAGAAATTAATCTGGAGATGTGAAATCCGGAGGGAAATGACCTTTCTTATTGATTCCATAAAATTTGATCCCAAATAGGATGATATGCCCTGACAAAGATTAATATTTACAAATAACTTATTTATACACATGTGGCTTTCTTGTCTGTGGCAACAATTCAGAGAGGAAGAGAGGAGATGAGGGAATTGGAGAGAAGAAGGTAAAGGAGAAGGTTATTGTAGTCTGGACAGATGAGGCTCAGTTTTCCTTTTCTGGTTATTACTGAATTAAATAAAGATTGTATATAAATCAAACTGATGCACTGTGTCTATCTGCCTGGGAGTGTTCAATTATCAGCAATAGCAATCCGAAATTCATTATCATATTTCAATTCAAAAACTATAAAAATTTTATTTAATTTTAATTGCTGTTTTAATAAATTTACAGGGAAAAAATTTGCGTGTTTATTTTCTCCCCCGGGCCCCTTTTTTTATTTTACTCATTCGGTTGTAACATCATACATATTAAGATCTTTACAAAATGTGAGACTGTGCAAAAGTAGCAAAGTAACACGTGTTTTTTCTTTTAAAAAATTGATCATTTTAACCAATCTAATCATATACAGATTCTGAGAGAAGCCATCGCTGTAAACCATCATTCATTTGCAACCTCGCATCTGTTTCATGACCTTCTGAGTTATGTAGATGCTGTTTCCTAATTTGACACAGCCGTTGTTGACTGCACAGCTCATAAATAGCAGTGTCCATGTATGTTCTCTGCGGTGATGCACCTTATATGGAAATCAACTGTTCTGGATCAGTTCTACTGGTTAACCAGCAGACCGTAAAGGAATCAATAGATTAGGTTCAGACTACAATTCATCTTCAGACCTCTTTCACCGACTTGGGGGAATATAGTTGCACATAAGAAATCTGAAAAAAAAGGGTAATTTTATAATTGGTTCCATGTTTTAATACGACACAGAAGAAACAGCACTCGGTGTTTTCTCAGGTTATATTCCTTGTAGGCTTGTGTCAATTTGGTGGGGGTGAGCCTATATCATCTTTGGTTTCGCTCTTAGGTATTAATGAAATGTTTTAATTTTTATTCACTGCTTCTCTGGCTCTGTAATGAGCGGGATTCGATTGGTTTATGTAGAGAGAAAAATCCAGTGCAAGCTAGAGGGCCTGCTTCACTCTATGATTCCGCTGTATGTTAAAACCAGGACCCAAGTTATCAAACCATGAGCAGTACCCTTCAAGCGTGGGCTGTGCCCGCCCCATACTCAGCAAGTAACATTCAGTAAGCAGCTGAGCCAAACAGACCAAAGCTCCTGCCAATTAAGATGATTTCATATATGAGTGCCATGATTTATTTCACCGCCTGGGATTACAGAGGGGAGAATGAGCAGTGTCCCAGTTTAAAGTCTGAAACCAATACCCATTACTGGAGGTGTTTGTGTTGACACCGCAAGCGGTAACAGAATTGGGCTCAGCTGGGACACTTTGTCTTCACTCCTCTGTTTCAACTGACACATGAATAATGTCCACTTGGATGAGGTGCTAGTTGTCAGCCATGGGACCATAGCATGGGGGCGAGCGGGGTGGGGGGGGAGAAGTAAAAAGTTGTCTTCCTGCAAACAAAACCTAGAAATAAAATGTTCGAGATGTGGATTGACACTTGTCATTTATTTTGCTATAACGATTGTATTATCTTCCAACCAGTGCAGCCCAAAAAAAAAATGTAGTGATATTTTCATGTTTTCCGAGTCATTTGCTTCCAATTCTATGACCCCGAAATATTTGGTCATTACACCTCCTTTCCCCCACATTCCATTTTCTTGTCATACCTCGTGAGTAATGTCGTGGAAACAGCAGGAATATGTCCAACTACTGACAGATAAGTTTTATTAAGTTGCTTTATTCTGGTAATCCTGCTTTGATCATCATGCTATGCAGTCCTCTAATTACTTCAAAGACGCCTATTTAAAATTGCCGTTCTTTACCCCCTCGTCCCCCGATCCTTTCATGAGATACGAGGAAGCTATTTCAGTACTTGCCCAGCAGCAAGCACTAATTTCCGATCAGCCACGGTGGATACCAATTCCCTTGCAATACTCCATCATTTCATTTACATATTATTTCTCTCAATATGTTTGATGGACACAGTGAAGAGTGAAAGGAGTTTCTCCCTGTGTCCTGGCCAACGATCCTCCAGGTAAAATTGGGTCATTCGACTTTATGGCTGTTTGCAGGACTTTGTTGTGCTCGGCCTCAAACGTACACAGTCACTTCTCTTTGCACTAAATCCTGCAAAGCACTTGGCGGCATCCCAATGATGTAATGAGGCATCACGTCAAATGTAAGAGTTTTTTTTCTCGTTATGATCGTTATCAAGCGGCAGTTGTGCGAAATCGCGAGACAGCGGCGGCAAGAAGACGGATGCCCCACCACAAGGAGAACGCACCGCAGATTTACATTCATACTGCAACTTTCATCGTCGCGAGGGCGTCCCAAGGTGCTTAACGGCACTGGGGGTGGGGGAGGGGAAAGAAGACCAAAAGCGCGGTCAAAGAAATGGAACCTCTTGCCGATCTTTACATATACTGTATAATATATATGCAACATATATATATATATATATATATACACAGTCCCACTCCCAATGGAAAAAGGTTCACTGGTGAGGTATCCTGGAGCGAGGAGTTGCAACAACAACTTGCGTGACGGCGTCACCGGAAGGCTTCAGAGCAGTTAGGCGCACGTCTGTCAGGCGCACGTTATAATAAATAAGAATAAGACTCCTTGCATTTGACGCAGCGCCTTTCCACCTCTTCGAGATGTTCTCCAAAGCGCCTCGCAGAACAGACGGGCCAACAGCCAATTCGCGGGCGGCGGTGCACCATGCCCCGCAAACAGCCGTGGATTGAAGGCGACCGATTTATTATCATTATTATTATTATGATGGGGGTTATTTTTTCACTGCGTGCGCGTGCATGTGGTTTTCGCTGGTGGGCTGTGTTTTTGCTTTTGCTTTTGTCGTGAGGCATTGCTATCAGGCTTGGCGGAGCAAGGAATTTCGAGGCAATTGGAAATTCGTTGGCCGCGACCTGACTTGCCGGGCGGGAATCGAACCCGGGTCCGCCTCTCTCGCTCTCGCTATCGCTCCCTCTCGCTCGCTCTCTCGCTCGCGCTCTGACCGCGACCCATAACTCATTAGAAACCCATCAGCACGTGAGGAGGAGGGTGGGGCAGGAGGGGGAGGAGTTAGGGGAGGGTGGGGCAGGAGGGGGAGGAGTTAGGGGAGGGTGGGGCAGGAGGGGGAGGAGTTAGGAGGAGGGTGGGGCAGAAGGGGGAGGAGTTAGGAGGAGGGTGGGGCAGGAGGGAGAGGAGTTAGGAGGAGGGTGGAGCAGGAGGGGGAGGAGTTAGGAGGAGGGTGGGGCAGCAGGGGAGGAGTTAGGGGGTGGGTGGGGCAGGAGGGGGAGGAGTTAGGGGGGGGTGGGGCAGAAAGGGGGAGGAGTTAGGAGGAGGGTGGGGCAGAAGGGGGAGGAGTTAGGGGGTGGGTGGGGCAGAAGGGGAGGAGTTAAGGGAGGGTGGGGCAGGAGGGGGAGGAGTTAGGGGAGGGTGGGGCAGAAAGGGGGAGGAGTTAGGAGGAGGGTGGGGCAGGAGGGGGAGGAGTTAGGGGGTGGGTGGGGCAGGAGGGGGAGGAGTTAGGGGAGGGTGGGGCAGGAGGGGGAGAGT